CTATTTACAATAGCCAAGACATGGGAGCAACCTAAATGTCCATCAACAGATGATTGGATAAAGAAGATGTGATATATATCTATATACACATACACACACACACATACATACATATGACATATACATGTATGATATGTGATATTATATATATATATATGTCGTATATATGATATGTGATACACACACACACAATGGAATACTACTCAGCCTCCGAAAAGAAAAAAATAATGCCATTTGCGGCAACATGAAAGGACCTAGAGATTGTCATACTAAATGAAGTAAGCCAGAAAGAGAAAGAAAAATGCCATATGGTATCAATTATATGTGGAATCTTAAAAAAAGACACAAGTGAATTTATTTACAAAACAGAAACTGACTCACAGACATAGAAAATAAACTTATGGTTACCAGGAGAAAAAAAGGAGGGGGAGAAATAAACTGGGAGTTCAGGATTTGCAGATACTAACTACTATATATAAAACATAACAGATTCCTTATTTGTAAGTGGGACTAGAAACAAAATAGATTAAAACAGGGATACTTAAAGTATGATACACACAAACTATAATTATTTTTTCTCACTTAATACAAATGAATGTATGTTAATTCACCAATATTTTGATGTTGAGTCCCTAAAATATGGGCCCATCAGTTGGTGTATAAATTACATCAAATTTCAGATTCTTTAAAGTGGAGAAAGAATTCATTTTTTCCCCATAGAAATTACTCTTCTGTGTCTGTCTTTTATTAGCATGTACAATTTTTAAAATATAATATTGTGATAACAAGTACAGTTGGATTTGTTAACCTAAAACAATGAACAGCCAGTTATTTTTACGAGCAAAACAGGTTTATTTAGGAACAGCAATTTCAGAATTGCAATTAGGGACATGCAACTATAGTGAACCAAAAACAAGTCTGATAAAGCAAAAGAGAGGAAACTTACAGAGGTGAAGGGAGAGTTGGAAGGGGCTGCGATAAACATAAAGTCCATTGGAGGAAACTGGGAGTTTGAAGTATAGTGGCTTTTCATTGGCTGAGTTGTGACAGTGTCTCATTGGCTGAACTGTTCCCAGGCAAGGAGAAATTTTTTTCTTCCTCCAGTATGTTTCTTCTTGTTGGGATCTGGTATTGACCTTGAGTGGTACCCGTGTGAGAACTCCCTCTTCGTTTTAATGAGGTTTCCCTTTATTAACTTTCACAGATTAAGGGGCTTTGGGAACCAGCCTGACTCTTGATAAGCAAACAGCTCAACTGATGTGAGTAGTATGAAGGCAAATTGAAAAGTAGAATCTTTAAGAATAAAGTGTCATGAGCATTAAATAGTCAGCATGTTTTATAGACTGAGTGAATGGAGAGCATGATCTACTTCAGGAAACTGGTTAAATGGAAGTCAGTTTAAAAATCAAAAACGAACTTCTATTGCACAATATAATTGGTGTGAAAAAAGATTTAAGTACAAGATGCTAGGAAGGACCTCAGGAGGGAGCAACTAACTACCTGTGATTCCAGATCTTTTTCAGCTCTTTATTAAACAATGGCAGAAGTTAAAAATAACTTTTAAAATTTTTATTTTGGTATCTTCACTAATTCAAATATTAGTGAGTTATTTGAACATAAAAGGTTAATCAGGCTTTATATTTTCTTAAATTCGGGGGACAATACGTACATATTGTTTTGAATGATCAGTAACTAATATGTCAATTATTGTTTTAAATTATCTGATGTCCTGTGTTGTGAAGAGTTAGAATTCCCAGCAAAGGTTTTTCATCCTGGTAGAAAGGGCAGATTCTGTGCTTTAACCACACAGGTCTCATTGTGAATGATTTCTTCTGCTGAAGTATCCAGCTGCCTCTCCTCTTCTTACCCATCTCTGACACAGACCAAGGCTCTTCACATTATTCTCTCCTCCTCTCTCCAGTTCTTACTGGTCTCTCCCTTAGAACTCCTAGGGCCCTGTACCATTTCATGATAACCTGTCTTGAACCATTCAATGCCCATTCCATGTGTCTGTGTGCAAGTCTCTTGGCAGAGGACTGAATCTCCCATGTCTTTTTTCTGTTCACAGCATCTTTACGTCACAGTTACAAATAATTGCTTTTTAAGTTGAATTAAAACAACTAGTAGGCTGCCAAAAGAAGAGTGCAGGTATATTTAATAAAGTGACTAGACTTTTCTGAGCAATTATAAGTATTTATTATGTAGCAAATGATACATAACAGGTCAGAAGCACAGGTAACAACTGGCATCTGATGTGGGGGTGGGAGGCAGTCTCATAGGTAAACCCTTAACCCATGAAATCTGATGTTTTCTCTGAGTAGACAGTGTTAGAATTGAGATGAATTCTCAGACACCCTGCTGGTATCTGAGAATTGCTTCGTGTTGTGTGGGAACCCCCCCCTCCTGGAACCCCACCACCACCACTTTCACCGCAGAAACCTTGGAATTGGTACCAGAACTTATTTAATTTCTCTTTTCCATCTGGCCATCTAGTATTTTTTTTTAATTAAAGTGTAGTCATTTTACAATGTTGTGTTAGTTTCTGGTGTGCAGCATGGTGATTCAGATATATATGTATATATATATTCCCTTTCATATTCTTTTTCATTATAGGCTATTACAAGATATTGAATACAGTTCCCTGTGCTATACAGTAGGACCTTGCTGTTTATCTATTTTATTATATAGTAGTTAGTATCTGCAAATCCCAACTCCCAATTTATCCCTCCACCCCTCTTTCCCCTGGGTAACCACAGTTTTGCTTTGTGTGTCCATGAGTCTGTTGCTGTTTTGTCAATAAGTTCATTTGTGTCATTTTTTTAGATTACACATTTGAGTGATATACCATACGGTACTTTTCTTTCTCTTTTTGGCTTTCTTCACTTAGAATGACAATCACCAGGGCTGTCCATCTTGCTGCAAATGGCATTATTTCATTCTTTTTTATGGCTGAGTAGTATTCCATG